CCACTTCGTCCACTTGGGATTCAGCTGGCCGTACGGTTCTTCATTTTTTGGCTTGAAGACACCAATAATTTTCTGCAAAGACAATGAGGGGGGGGGAAATGCTTGTATTTTGTACCAGATGAAAAGTTTACGAGTCCGTCATTGGTCAGAAATCCACGCTAAAAACAACAAACAAGGTACGCAGCGTCCTTACACATTACAGCAAACTTCAATGTGCCTTATTGGGATTTTATGTGACAGACCAACACAGTGCAACAATGTAAAGTTTACTCATGGCATTTGAATGATAGTTACAAAGAGATTTCTGGAAAGTGTGGCATGCAAAGCCTGATAATTATTGTTCTCTATCCATTCTGACTTAGCATGAACTCAGACAGAAGGATGTGATTTTACTTCCTAAATATGCTCTACTTCAGTCGATCGCATAAAATCCAAAAAAGTACAGTTAAATTTGTTAATGTAATGTGACAAAATGAAAAAAAAAAGTTAAATGGGTCTGAATAATTTTGTAAAATACATTTAAACAAGGTAGTGTGAAAAGGGATAAAGTTGGACACTATGAAGGGATAAAGCTGGACACTATGAAGGGATAAAGCTGGACACTATGAAGACATTACAAAAAGCTTCAATGCGGGTTAAGCTGTTGGAACGTACACAAATTAAAACTACAAACAGCACCGAATGAGCTGCAAATGCCCTTAAACTAAAAAAAACAAACAAAAAAAAACAGATAAGAGGATAAGAAGTTTGATAAGAGGAGGACAGATTTGGGGTGTGCCGTGATTCCACAATTCAATATAGAAATCACATGTCTCTTGTATTACACACACTCCCACCAATTACAACAAAAAAATCCTCAGAGAGAAGTAGCACATGACTGCTTAGCACAGCGGTGACTAACTTAAAAAAGCGCAGTGGTGGGGGTCAATGGCAGGAGGTCACCGAGTAGAGTAAAAACTTCCTGCGGTTCGCCTACAATGGCCTTTTCTGTCTTAAATTACCTCAAGTCGAAATGAGAGAGGTAAACGAAAGGCTGTGGCTCTTTTTATGTCGAATAGACTGAAACTGAGGGTCTAAATGTAAACTTCAAAAAGAGACTTCCGCTTTTTCTTGATTTTTTTTTTTCCCTCTTTTTGCACAACATTGGACACATTGATGAGGACATATTAGGAAGGCATGGCATGTGAGTGGCTCAAGGTTCTTCATTTAATCTGGTGGCCACTAGGAAGGTTTCAAGTTCTTATTTGAAGAGGAACGCTCCCTGATTTCTCCATGGTGACTTGGTTTTTATCCGAGGCTCCGTGCCTCAATTTGTTGAGTTCCTGCTAGAGCAAAGAAGGCATGCGAGTTCAACATTTTTGGTCCAAATGGATATCAAAGAGTCAGTTTTCTGTGGAGGGAAAACAACAACAAAAAACACCACAGAAAGTAGAAGTTGCATTGCAAGAACAACTAAAGTAAACTTCAGCGCGTTTGATCGATGTGATGATGGAAGGCTTTAAACAAGCACTGACATGCGACTTTTCCCCAGCAGATGAACCCGAAATGATTAGCATCTGTCTGCACAGTCAAACTCAAACGATAAGAGCATTTTAAAAAGGACCTTGGCTCTCATCAGTATCACGGTATGCCAAAAGTAAAAAGTTTACAGTTTCAAAACCACAAAAAGTCATCGCAACGTCATGCCGATGTGTTGCTGCATGATCCGTTTGCTGGACAACAAAATAATACTTTTTCTTCCAGCTTATATGAAAGCCTAACGCGTCCGTTAAGAAAAACTTTCAGTTAAAAAAAAGTAACGGACAGTCAGTGGTTTGAAGCAAGTTGTGCAACCGATCACTCTTCAGTCACTAACGCTATCTGAAGCTACAGACGATGAGTTGCAGATCTGTTAAGCAAGTAAGAGGCAGACCCACTATCGCAGCAAAGGATTGGTTTCAAACTAGTTTAATCCTAAAAGACCGACACCGTAATAAATTGCAATGCTGGCTTAGTCCCAACATGCATTAGCATTGTGTCTTAAAGCCTTTTAGGAGTCTGGGACATACCGTTATAATTTTTCAACCATGAAAAAGCAAGACTTGTTTGGAAAAATATATCGGTGAGATTTACTTTTTGGAAGACCAACAAAAGGAGCAGCAAAAGAGAAGGATGAGCAGTGCTCGCAAATAGCTGATGGGGTCATCCAGGACATGTTGCTGTGGAATATCATCTCTGCTGCCCTGATATTGAGCTGTTAGCATGTCATGATAGTCATGAGACCATCATAAAGCAACAGTCTTCAGTCAGAGGCCTCTTCGGAGTAGCTGTAAGACTGAGTGCTACTGGAGGTCCTTCCTGTCCACCATCTACAATGACTATGAAGATATTTGGATTACATGAGTTACGAAAACATTTGGGTAAAATAAAGTGTTTTTGAATTGTATACAGTAGATAACTACTTTTGCAACATTTTGCTTAATGGGATAAGAAGGCATTTTTGAATGAGTCTTGTTTCATCAGCAGTCTGTCATAATGTGGTCTTTGAATACTAAGCTTCTCGTTAGTATTCTCTCCATCTTAAAGCTTTGTTTGGAAAGTGGATTTGGCTACTGGAGCACACTTTACCAAGGATCTGCTCTTTGTCTATACAATGCACATATGAGAAGAAAAAAAAAATCAACTCTCTTTACCAATGATGCCGTCAAGGGGCTGTTATATGTTATATTAGGCCTAAATGTATTGCCTCTTAGTTTTTTGCTGTGTTAACTGGGTAAGAGTGTGAGTGTGTGTTGTGTTTCAATGTGTTGTAGTCCATCTGCCAAGTCATCACCGCATTGTTAGAGAAGGCCTTCATCAACAATCGACCACAACTCTGTCCCAATACACATGTAAATATGTTTCAGGGCTCTTCAAGCTGAACCCCAACCCTGTCACACCTGTGAGGAGACAGCTCTGGGAACCTTTAAGTAACCTGAGGATGTAGATGTGAAGCCGCTCCTCTTACCCCCTGAGAGTCTTTGACAAAATAGCTTCCACTGGAGCCCTGGTAGATCCTCTCTGGGTATATCCCTTCCTCTATGGCTCGTTCGGCCTTGCGGATGATCTCCCTGAACTCGGGATCTTCCGGGAACTCGTTCCTGTGCGGCTCCCGAGAAGCGTGTCCTCGCTCCCTGTCCAAGAGCGGCTGCCTCTCCAGGCTCCGTCCGGGACTCCCGGCCGGGATGCGCACCACGGAGCCCGGTGTGCTCCCGAAGGCGCCTCGGGGGCTGTTAGGCTCCGTGTAGCTGAAATCCCCAGAGTCCCGGAGCGGAGAGACAAGCGGACTTGTCTCGTCCATGGTTCGAAGGTACCTGAAGAGTTATTTTATCCTCTGTTAGGAGACGACAAAAGGGAGAAAGAGGATGAAAAGGAAGAAAACAAAAGGCAGGACAGTTGTTTTGCTGGTTAGCTCTGACGCTGGCTAACAAAATCAGATGACTGTCATCTTCCGGGAAAAGGCGGGACCTGTTGAGTGTTTTGATCTGCAACCAATCAGCGTTGAAATCCTTATGTCAGTAACCTCATTGCAAATGCTGATTGGATACAGTCACCCAGCACACAACATACATGTGAGAGTGTAGTTAATCTAATCAATTACCTCTACCAAAAGGCCTTTGTGAAACATTCTGTGACTTATTTCAAATAAATTGGATCTGAAGTATCTGGATTTCTCTAAAATTCTAGCAGAGCCCTATATGGAGACCTATATATTAATGAAATAACTGCAAGAAGCAGTTTTATTTTTCAGTGAGACATTGAAGGACATTAATTTGCTGATGAAACCCTACTTGATTTTATTATTCTTATGATTATTTTCTATAGCTTACATATTGCTTTCAATGAACCTTTATAGCTTACTAGTTACCCCCATCCCTCACCTCCACACAATACCATAAATACAGATGAATCACTGCACAACTCTGTTGTAAAATGATTCTGATCAACAACAGGCCTAGCTTTAATTAAAATCAATAGACTTTTATTAATTACAAAGACACATGTTCTTTCAGTATCAGTGTCAGTTGCATAAAATACCATGTATTTATCCTAATTTGTAATTTTTTTCATTTTAATTTATTCATGAGTAATTTCATTCAAAGTTGTTCTACAGTAAATGTATATTTCATGGCTTGTTGTTTAGAAGATGACTGCGTGTCAATACTGACCCCTGTGGGAAACTGTGAGTATTGCACAAACGTTTCTCACAAATTGTTGCCTGTTGCTCAAATAACGTTTAAGCGTCCCTCTAACGCCATACCATGTCAGAAGCAGCATCCTAATAAACTGTGCCTAAAGATTTGTGTCAATAAAACAAAATAAGTCCTAGTTGTTAACTAATGTGACCAGCATTTGACCACAATACATCAACTTTAAGCTGTTTGGCGTTGACAGATGTTCTGAGAAATTTAGTGGTTTTACTTTTATTTTTTGTATTCTTTGCTACTCAACCCACAAATGTATCTTCCTGACAAACATGGCATCATTTCAGAGGAAATACAAAGCTTTCTTAAAAGAAGTATAATAATCAAAAAAACATTGTCACATGTGAAAAAAAATCATTGAAAAGCATTGATTTTGCTGTACATTGTACATATACAGAAACATTTATTTTTATACTGCCTCATATTATTTATACATTAGTTAAAATGGGATTACTTCTCCATTTTCTAAAATTAAATATTGTATTATTTAAACACTTTTCAGTGATCTCTTTATATTGCAAAGAGAGATACATTTATTAGACTTTTGTGTATTAGTGTGCAGGATTCTTTGCAGTACCATAGTATTCTACAGGTTATGGACAGATAATTATATTCATAAATAAATAAACTTTTTTTTTCTTTTTTTATGTTTGGGTGAAAATTACAGATGTTTTGTGTCAGCCTGGAGGACGCAGAGCTGGGTTTGTGGACGTGCCGCAGAGCGCATCTTCTTGCCTCTATTCTCCTTCGCCTCACTCAGCTCGCCTTCTGATTTGTGGAAACCACCCGGAAGAGAAGAAGGGAAGCCCTTTCGTCACCCACGCTTCTCCTTCAACCCCTCTTCACTAACACGCTCTCCCTTTTCGGGTTGTCCCAAAAAAACGACTCTTTCTCTTAATACCCTCTTTAGGAGCTGCTGCGGAGTCAGAACTAATCCGCCGGCGTCGCTGCAGCATTTTTGGAAGAACCAAAGTTACCGGAAGTACCGCGCAGAGGGCATTGGAGTGAAGATGGCCGCCTACAAGCTGGTTCTGATCCGCCACGGAGAGAGCGCCTGGAACCAGGAGAACCGCTTCTGTGGCTGGTTCGACGCCGACCTGAGCGAGGCCGGAGAGAAGGAAGCGAAAAGGGGAGGACAGGCCCTGAAAGGTAGGGTACAGCGGTCAGCAGGTCTAATCTGACTCTCTCTCTTCTAACCGGGCCGCGGGGTTAAGCCCCTGAAAAGATGGTGCTTATGTAACTGGAGGTTGAAGAAACAGGCAGGCTAGGGACTCCATTAAACAATTCACCTGCAAACAGAGGACGTATTTCTGTGTCGTTTATATTTTCCTTACAGATGGCTTTTCCCCCTTTAGCTTGACATTTTTGTTTAAACCAAAAAAAAAAAAGGAGTATTTTCGGATTGGACTTATGCAGTTCAGTGAAACCTGTCAGACAAATTAAATCAGCCATGGCATTGCTTCACTTAGATCTATTCAAATGTATATTCAGATTTAAAATAAAACGTGTGCAGAAGTGAATGAGCTTTCTATGCCTCACAAAGGCTCTTTCCAGAAAGAAAAGGTGGAGATTATTAAGAGACAATTTCTCATTTTTCAGTATTTTGTTCTCCCTTTTGCCAAGTGGAAATTTCCTATGAGTCACTGAATTTTGAACACGTGTTCATGCGTGCACCCACTGTTAATTTGACCTCAAATTCCCCTGCAGACACATCATCCAGAGCTCTTAGTCAGGCAGTACCATGTGGCCGATGACCTTAAAGAAGAAAATGCTTAATTTCTTTGGAAAGTGAAATGTAGCATGAAGATAATCATTGGATATTGTAAGAAATGTTTCTCTTCAGAATCATATTTCCCATCGTATGTTAAATGGCTTAAAAATCTGTGTACAGCACCTTGCAAAAGGGTCCTTACCTTTTAATACAGACCAGATGCTTAATTGTGATACAGGGCGATAATAAATGGTGTTTTAATTTTAATTACAATCTGAAAAGTGTGGTGTGCACTTGCTGAAAAGAGTCAATACTTTGTAGAAGTGTGTTTTCCTACAGTTACAGCTGTAAGTCTTTTTAAAATATCTTAACATATACATTTTCATGTCCTGGCAAAGACTCTGAATTTGATTTACATTTGGGCTTTGACTGGGCCATTCCATTGTTTGACTATTTGATCTAAGCCATTCCACTGTAACTTAGCTGTTTGGTAAGGGATGTAATGCTTACAAGTGAACAACAGGCATTTCCTCCATGACAGCCCTATAATCCGTATTTAGGTGACTTCTGAAGGTTGGGGTCGACTGCACCTGATTCTAGTGGTGTACGAGTGAAAGGGGGCTACAAATGAATGCCACACTTTTCAGATTTTTATTTATAGAGCGATAGGAAGGCCATTTATCACTTTTCTGCTTTACAATGACGCACCCATATGAATCTGACAAGATGAGAAAAGGTGGATAATCTTGCACATAAGTTCTCCCACTGTCAAATGCTCATTAAAATGTTTCTTGTTTCATCTTTACCCTCAGATGCTGGCTATGAGTTTGATATCTGCTACACCTCTGTCCTTAAGAGGGCCATCCGGACCCTGTGGTATGTCCTGGACAGCATCGACCAAATGTGGCTGCCCGTCCACCGGACCTGGCGGCTCAACGAGCGCCACTACGGCGGCCTGACGGGGCTGAATAAGGCAGAAACTGCTGCCAAACACGGGGAGGCTCAGGTGAAGATCTGGAGGCGTTCCTTCGACGTTCCTCCCCCACCCATGGACGAAGGACACAACTACTACCAGAATATCAGCAAGGTGAACAAGGAAAACTGTGACACACGACCTGAGTTTCTATTACAAATGTGTTATTAAAATCACACGTAAATAAGTTTGTCCACGTGATAAGTCATTTAAAAACGTCATCCTCTTAACACTTCCTGTCATTATGTTCGTCTTTTCCGCCGGTAGTAACATCCGGTTGTTGATGACGTGACTTGTGTGAGGTGAAGAAGTTGTTATTCCAATTTGTAGTCATTGCATGGTCAATGGAAACGCATCTAATGAAGCTTTCTTTTTTTTCTTTTTTTTTTCCTATAAAACATAAATGTGTGTAGTCTGACCATGAAACGTCTGACAGCTGGAACTCTGTCTTTTCGTGGCAGGACCGGCGTTATGGTGACCTGACCGGGGATCAGCTTCCCAGCTGTGAAAGTCTCAAGGACACCATTGCCAGGGCGCTTCCTTTCTGGAACGAGGAAATTGTTCCCCAGATCAAGAAAGGAAAGCGGGTGCTTATCGCCGCTCATGGCAACAGCCTGCGGGGCATCGTCAAGCATCTCGAGGGTAAGGGAGAAAAAGCTCATCATGGAGACAAAACCCACATGTTGTAATTCACTGCACTTAATTTGTGCTCTTTCGTGTTGAGGTTTTTGTGGAATTTTTTTAAATGAAAATTATAAGATTGAGTTTAATTTAAGAAAATAAAAACTCCAAGAGAAGCTTGAGCTGCAATATGATTTGAAAGTGCTTCTATTCTTAAGCCTTTCGAATCTATGAATAATGACCAGAGATATTTGTTATGAATTTAATTGTGTAATTAAGCCTGTGGCAATAAGCAATTATTTAATTGAATGATTAATTAAAATAAGCTTCATAATTTTCATTCTGATTTGGCCTGAAACCCAGTGTGAGTAACATTGTTGGGTAGTTTAGTGAAAGCCATATATGAAGGGGCTTAGTCTATAGAAATTAATAGGGATATTTAATATATTGATATCAGCCGATGCAATTCATTTCTTATCATGTCGTTATTAGCCAGATAAGTAAAACCAGGCCAATTTCATAACAACAGATGTTTATATCCATTGTGTTGCCATTTGTTTCTGGAGCGTGTTGGCCATGTGGATTTAGTTTGGTCATGTGACAGTGATGGAGAGCAGGATAAATATCAGTTTCCAGTCATACGTAATATCAGATATACCGAAATTTTCAAATCAGTGCATTTCTATAAATCAGTTGATAAAGCACTGAAGTCTTAACATTAACTTGGATTTTTAATGAGATTTGCCTTGTTGAAGGTTGAGTGAATTAAACATATTTTCTGCTTTGCATTTGTTGCTGTTTTCCAGGGATGTCAGAGGAAGCCATCATGGAGCTGAACCTGCCCACAGGCATTCCCATTGTTTACGAGCTGGACAAGAACCTGAAGCCCACCGGACCCATGCAGTTCCTGGGAGATGAGGAGACCGTCAGGAAGGCCATGGAAGCGGTGGCCGCTCAGGGCAAAGCCAAGAAATAGACTTGTCCGACCCGGCGAAGCCCCAGAATGAAGACCAATCGTGTACTGCTCCCACGTTGAGTTGAGGAAAAAAACCAAACAAAAAAAACGGTTATCTAATGTTTGTGGCGTCACAAATTGTACACAATTAGACCCGAAACGTGCACTTTAGAAATAATACTCTGCTTATTGGTCTTTATTCTGTTATACACTGAAACATGCATTTCATTATTAGACTGTCGAGAATAGTTAAAGCACTGACCAAATTGGAAATTAGGGACCAGAGAGCAGAAGGGAGATTGGATTCAGATCTGTCGAGGACGACCAGTGGCTGCAGATGAAGCTCAACGGGAACCGGACCGCCACTGGTTGATGTTGTTAAAAGGATGAGTGCATTGTTCTGTTTTGTTGTACGATGGTGAACTTTGTTTGCTGTGGCAAAAATGAATAAATGTTGAGACATAATTTAATGATTACATTTTTTTTTTACAAGTCTTTGGTCTTTTTTCTTCCACCAGCACAACTTTCTTCTAGGAAACACTGGTTTTTACCTGCCGTATATAAATTAATTAACTGGAAAACTAAAGGCAACCCAATTTGTTCTGTTCAAAGTCAGAAGGATGAGGTTACAGGGTATATATATGTTTTTGGTTTTTTATAAGTTATCAGAAATGTTATGTATAAACTCTTGCTATTTAAGGCAATGAGGAAATGTATAAAGTTTTGTTAAAAAAACATGCACACCCTTTAAACTTTTCATGTTTTATACAAATTTTTTTATGTTTTCTATTAGGATCTGATAAACCAGTATAAGGTTGTTGAGAAGATAAAAGCAGAGTTGAGTTATAAAACAGTTTAGTCAATATGAACAGAGCTAAGTATGAGACAATACTGGAAGAAAACATGCTAGAGAATTAAAGATTGGGATGGAAGTTCACTGAGCATCCCTATCACACTAAACATGAAGCTGTGGTGGGAGGATTTTGATCCAAGGTAATTTGCTCAAAAGACTCAAAGTCCAGACCAAGATTTTATTGGGAATTTGTGGCAATACTTAAAAAACTGCTGTTCACTCATGTTTGCTACCTAATACAACAGAGGGTGAACTGTTTGGCAAATTATGTACAAGACAAGCAATCTCATGATGTGTAAAACTGATGGAGTCACCCTGAAAGTATTCCAGCTGCAGTGAAAGGTATTGACTCTGCTTGCACACTGTTAAGACTGTTATTTGTTAATTGATTTAAAAATAAACTTCTATTTTCCTTACACTTCACAATAAAACACGTTGTGAGGTTGATATGTCACATAAAACCATAGTATACTGAAATAAAATGCGATTTGCAATTAACACTCGTTCTGTTTGATAATTGAGTAGACTTAGGACAAAAACAGCTCTTTGTAAAAAGGTTGCACATCCCTGTTCTAGTCAAAAACGTCTCAAAGGAAGGCTGGACTGATAGAATGGAAGATCTCGTCTGTTCCAATTCCTGACCACTAGGTGGCTCTAATGTAGCCTACGGTCGATTGGCCAATCGCCAAAAAAGGGGACAAATGAAGAAGAAAGAAAACCGTCCAATCAGAATCTAGACCAGCCTTCTTCATAGCCAATGAGGTTGCTCTGTGCTCTTCCCGAAAACATGTCGCCCCTGAGATTGTGTGTCCCAGGTGAGTCCTCCGTTTAAAGTGTTTCAAATGTGTGTTCACTCGGAATTTAGACCGTGTTTGTAGCGCTGCTGATGTTTCGGGTGATGGAGAGGCTTTTGTGTCGCTGAAAAGTTAAATGCAGCTACAGTCAGACATGTTGAAACAGCTAAGTAGCCACACGTGAGCAGAGACTTGCCTCTTCTTGTAGACTTACAGTGTGCTAAATTTTATTTATGGCCGCAAAACAAGATGGGAGAGATATGTTATAGTTAAACGCACTGCTTTCCCCCCCCCTCGACTTCGTTTAGCTGTTTTGGTGTCTCCTGCCCTGCCCGTCGCCCCAGGCGTAGCTGCACATTCCTCTGCACTCTTGTTTTGAACACACTGACTCCACCCGCATCCCACCCCCCCACACATTCAGTTTCATTATGAGGATTAACGTTATCTGTTCATGTATTAATTACTAAATAACTGGTTTAAATGGACAAACATAGATATCACAATCTTTAAAAACTACAAAAGTTCTACCTTTAATTGTATGTTTTGAAGCCTCCTGTACTGTATTACAGTTCTATTAAATTTATTACCATACAATTTAGATTCTACCTTCAGATTCTCACCATTTAAGCTGAAGCTGGTATTTCTTGAAATATTTATTTAACCATTAATATTGTAACTCGATGTGTAGTCATCTTGTAATTGGAAGGTTGATGTTTTGACTCCAGCTTCCTCCTGTCCCACTTCGATGTGCTTCTGTGCAAGGCACTTAAACCCAAGTTGCCTACCGATTTATGCATCGTTGCATAAAGAGTTACTCAGCCCCCTGTCAGATTCTTAGATACAAAATAATTTTATAAGCATTATAAAAATACAATCCTTAATGTTTGCACTTGATTTATCTTTAGTGATGAGCTCCAAGTCTTTGAGGTTGCCATCAACTTGATTTTTAGACATTACCTCCTTCCAGCCAAAGAAAAGATTGTGCTCAGTTTAAAAGATCGCTTTAAAATCTACCAGAGGTACGACTCATTTTGCACACAGCAGTATGTAATGTTCCCTTCGCTGACTCCTTTTCTCTTTGCGTTCAGGTGAGAAACTATGCAGTGTAGGAGACTGTAATCAAGGCACCGGAGTGTATCAGCGACATGGCTACATCTACTCCTCCCTCGCTGGCTACGTAATGAGGAAGAACGAGGGAGAGGAGGTGAGGTTCACAAGGCAGAGGCAGAGTTTTTTTGTGTAGCTGGTGTGGATGACAGACTTTTGGAAAGCTGCCAGCGAGGTTCACACAAGGGCCTGAATCCGAGCATTGTGCAATTTGTGGGCTGTGGCTCACACAAAGTAATGAAAGTGAGCAGCTCAGTGTGCAGTGTCACTTTATTTTGAGCTGACTGACAGTGGTCACATTTTTGGATTAACAGGAAATAAGCGTTTGCTCAAAGTCAGTCTGTTGCACGACAGCAACGAATTAATTTATAAGCGCAACAGTTAATTTCTTACTATGTGAATATTATAACATTATAAATTAGAGATGTGCCGATCAGGTTTTTTCCTCCCGATACCGATACCGATCACCCATGAGGGCCGATCAC